GGTAGATAGATAGATAGAGAGAGATAGACAGACAGATGATAGATAGATAGATAGATAGATAGATAGATAGATAGATAGATAGATAGATATCCCTCTCCCCTCTCCAGAGCTCAGTAATCTGAGGCTTTGAAAGAACTGGAAGAAATATGTGAATGTCTATAGTAGAGGAAAATTTAAACTTTGACCTTGGCAATCCACTTCTCCTTCCTGATGTTCGATTTTTATATGAAAAATGAAATGTTTGATGAGGAGCAGGTGTGGAGTATACTTTAGAACAATTTCATCCACCACAGTTATGTAACTTTATGGAAGTACGTGCATATGCACATATAGAAATGAGGGACAGCAGTACAAATGAAATACTGAAGAGCCATTGTGTGCTGTGCAGTGGGTTTCCACCTAACCCTCTGAGTCTTTGGGTAAGCCTCTTCATTGCATCTTCATGAAGCAATGAGTAACATCTCAAAGGCCAATACAGAATACTGATACTGGGTGTGAAAACCTAATCAACAACAGCCACTCATGCAAATAAAACTATTAAGATGCAGTGTTTTTGTTAATAATACTAAAATGTTGTCAACAATTCACATTTATCATCATAAATGACATGATGCAATGTATGACTGATCTAAGTTGCATATAGTCCCAAAACTCTCCATAGTGAGTTTAGATTTGACTATAACATTTTTGTGGTCAGCAATAGTTAGCTAAAGCAAAATTAAAATCCAGTACTTCACATTCCCAGAACAGGCCTTCAGCCAACAAGCACAGGTGTCCCAGAGTTGGAATTTGGTTGTGTGTAATTGCAAGATGATTTAATGATTAAATAAAATATCTGCAAACCACTTTGCCGTATTCTGGGCAGTAAATGGTCATCAATTTTTCCTCACCATGTCTTTGCATTCCTCAGCAATAAAATGAAAATAATCATGTTCTAAACTAGTCTCTTCAAGTGGCCTGTTAGGTCATAGAAATAAGTAAGCATTTGGTTTAAACCCAATTTTGTTCTTCATTTAATTAAAACTATCCCTCAATGCTATCATGTGTTTGTAGGTACTATTCCTGGTTGATTAGAATAAATTGAAATCCCTTCAATAGCAAGGATATGGCATTGAATTAAATCAGCCATGTAACTAAACATTTGTTCAGCTGTAGATTTATGCTGTTTTTCAGCAGATCCTAGTTCCTCTTGTGTCCCAGCCTGGTGTCTGCAGGCCTTCTTTGTGGCCCCGCCTGATTTTGTGAATTTAAGTGTGTAGTTTGTATCATTGTTACTACAGGATCCCCTTGAGGATTTGGATTATCTGATAATTATAAAGAACTATAATTAATGCTTAATTAAAACCACTAGCTAGTTGAATAAATGGCAAGAAGAGAATTTTTGATGCTACATTAAAATTCTCTCCATATGCAGATGATTATTGGCGCATCTTGATAAACTCATCCTAACTAGAAATGTTGTCAAGTTCAGATGCTTCGAATGGACCTAACATACCGAAGATCTTAGCTTAGCCTGAGCCACCTTAGACAAGCTCATTACACTTATAGTAGCCTGTGTTTGGGCACAATCACGTAACACAACCCTATTTTAAATAAAGTGCCAAATACCGCATGTCATTTGTTAAGTACTGGACAGAAAGTGAAAGCAGAATAGGTGGTGTGGTGCATTCCACACCATCGTGAAGTCAAAACTTGGTAACTCAAACATCATGGGTCATGGGTTTCATATTGATGGTTTTGTGTAATAAACACTTTAAGATCTAATAACAATGTAACATATATTGATATAAGTATCAACATGACTTTAGATACTATCATACAATTTTTTGAGACAGAGTCTCAATTTGAAGACTGTTCACTATGTAACACAGGCTAGCCTGAATTTTCTATCCTCTTGCCTCAGCCTCCCAAGTACTGTGATTATGAGCATTTTCCCCCATGTAGAGCTTTCCTTGTGCAAATTTTTTAAAAGATCTAAAGTCCTCTATTTCTATACAACACACAAGTTTTTCTTTTTCCATGAATAAAATTGTCCTTGTATTCATAATGATAAAATACTAATTTATGGACAGTTTGCTTCTTTTTAAATGTAGCAATAGTATATTGTAGAGTCAGAATTACTTATTTCCCAAAAAGCAGTTTTACAGAATAGTTTCTGACTATGACCTCACATGATATATACCCTCATGTGTGGCCTAAGGTAATTAGAGATCACAACTTGGCAGTGCAGTTTCATTTTGTGAAATGAGAGCAAGAAAAGGCAAACAACAGAATATGAATATATCAAGAAAATTAAGTAGATCTTCATCTTCATAGTAGTCATAATATTTTGAATGTACTTAGGATTTCTTTAGCTCTCCAAGTTTCATTTGAATTGCTGATATCTTTGTTGCAAATGTTAGATCATCTGTTTGCATCAAGCAAACTACTGATTGTAATCTGAGAATAATGCTTTTTCTTCTTATGCAGGTTTCAAAAGTAAAAATAAATACAGACATTATTTCATACACTTTGCAAAGATCATATTGCTTTTGCATGTTATCAAGGGAAAACATTTCCCTATACTAAAGATTATCTTTTTTGTTATGTAGAGTAGAAGCAATATAAACATCACTACCTATCTAGAAACTGTCTATCCAGAAAGAAGGGAGCTAACTGTGATTTTGCTTCTCCTTGGAATAGTTTGAGTCTTTTATACAGATAGCTATTTATACTCTTTGTATATGACTACAATTCCTTTTTCTCAAGCTTCATTAGAATTATTGTTTTTTATTAAAAATAAAGTATTTGCAACAGTGACTTGCGCATCTAGGATGTCACATTGGAAGTGTTATTATATAAATGTTATTATAACAAATTTTTCTTTTCCCCTCTCTCTCCCATGCAAAGCGGTACAAGGATCGAGTGTTATTTTCCGAACAGTGGAGGTCACATTACACAAAGAAGGCAATACCTTTGGTTTCGTGATACGAGGTAAGGTGGTGGTTAAAAAGTATCACCTATCTGATTATTCTAGACAATTTTTCAGTGAGATGCTTTAAGAGAACAGGAAAGTCATGCTCAGAAACTGACATTTCCATGATGTAAATTTATCTTAAAGCAAATAAAGCAATGAAAGGGTGTCAGATTGAATCAAATGGTCAACTTTGTTTTTAGCCTAGTAATACAGACAATAGCCACTCTGTAAGCCTTGTCAGTTCCCTGATTATCCTACTGATTTAATACTTTTCAATGTTTTTGCCTTTCTCTGATCAGAATCACTGCTCAAAAATGTTGATGAGTGTGTCTTGATCTAATACATAAGCATTAAGCAACTTCGCTTTGATTACTTTCTTTTGGAACAGATTTTATTATTGCAGCTTTCTAAAAAATGGACCAATATAATCTAATCCCTGGACTCCCTGTGTTAATCAGCTCAACCCATCTTATTAAGGGGCAGCATGGAGAAGTAAAGGCTCCAGGTGGCTCCATCTTGCCTATGAAACCATTAATTCAGAGCTGCGATTCTGGGGTTCTGTAGGTTTTGTTTTCCTTATTAGCAATTTCATCTCTGAAAGGCTATTCTGGTATTAACAATGCTTAATTTGTGATATGACAATGGGATTCAATAATTATGTAAGCATCAAAAAATTTTAACATTTCACATTTCTTGATATTTTTAAATTTTCACCTATAACATTTTGTACTTCACAAGAATCAAAATTCTATCCAAATTATTGATAAAATATTAACTAGGCTTTTTAGTGAATGCACATGCATCAAAGGCTGAAAGAGTTGTGATTACTTGTACAAACTTGCCTTGAGTAACTGAGCTCAAAATGTTGGATTGAGTCTACACCAATCATGAAATCTTTACTAAGTATCCATCATGTCAGTATGACAGTAAATATGATGGCGTCATGAAGCACGGTCCCTGTCTGCAGGGAATTATGGTCCAGTGAAGTGAAGATGGAAGTTGACAATGTCCCCAGTACAGAATATAAGCTAAGCCTTCACTGTGTGGCTTAGCTCAGAGCTTATGGCATTTTTCAGAAAAAAAAGGCCTAATTTTAAGAGTAATAATAGACCCATAACCATTCCCAAACCTTTGTACAAAACAGCCATATAAATATAATGAAAAAATCTCCCTGCAAATTATTTAGGTTGAAGGGTGACATGTACAAATCTATTCCTGTAGTCAGACTGTGAAAGAGCAATTCTCTGAAAACACATGCATACACACCTAATTACTGAAAAAAACTGCTGGTACAATTGTTCATCACTGCTTACTGTGAAGTTAGTCAGAAACAAATCAGATTTCTAACAAAAGATACAACCAATAGCAATTTATCACTAAGAAGCAAAACCAAATAGATACAATTGATGTTCACATCTATCTCAAGGAGAGTGATGATATAATATGACCAAAGTGTCATTCCTACAATTTTCAGGAATTTCAAATATTTATGTAAGTGCATGCATGAGAGTTTTATAATATGAGACTAGAATACTAGCTGATACATGGATGGCACTTCATGAATAATAAATTCAATGTCATTCATTTGATTTGTGTGACCATAAGAACTCTTCATATTATTCTGATTATGAAACTTTCATGGCAATGAAGAGGTTTTAGTTTATGAGTGCCACATTTTTGTTTGGAGTTCAAACTGGTCCTGGATCAAAAAGAGCATTTCCCATAGATTACCTTCCATCTTGAAGTTCTATATTTCTTAAATTCCTTTACAGAAATTTTCCTTACACAAATTTGCAATTAGTTTGACAAAGTGCCACATTTGCCCCAATTTTTGTTGAACATTACACTTTTAATGGTGACCATTTCAGCTACTTTGTGTTTCGTTTTGTTTTGTTTTGTTTTAAACAGGGTCCTATTCTGTAGCCCAGGTAGGCCTAGAACTTCCTACATAGCCCAAGGTGACCTGAAAGTAATGATGATGCTCCTGCCTCAGCTTCCCAAGTGCTAGGATTACAAGTGTGCAGAACCATGCTTTTCCTTCCTAATACTTGGCCACCAGCTTCCTGAGACCGGCATCTTTCCTGGGCCCTGCTCCCAGGCCAGCCCAGCCCCCAAATTCCAGAGGGCAGCATCTTTCCTGGAAGGATCCAGACCTTAGGAGAAAGCCTGAGAGCATCTGAGCCTCATCTCACGTGGGCCTCTGTGGGGACTCCTGAAGACAAAAGCAATTTGGCCACTCTGATATAAAATCAAAAGAGAGAACCTGAAGCCTAGACCAACCAGCTTTTCATGCCTAACAAGTAAACCGCAAAGGCACATACAGTTTACAAAAAGAGGCAGATCTAAACTCAACAAAGGAAGGCTTGAGTCTCATACAAGAATCAGAAGCTATGAAAGAAATTCACATGTCAAAGTCACAGAGAAAAATAATAACATGAAAAACCAAAAGAATATATCCCCACCAAGTACCAATAGTCCTCTAGAGGAGTCCAATGAGACCTCCCTAGAGATAACACCAGGACACAGAACTCAAAAGAACAATTATAAACATGATAAAAGAATTCTGTGAATTTAAGGAACAAAGAAATCTTGGCTTTTCTTTTACATCAGGCTGTAGACCTACTTCCTCATCGGCATTACAGCCCAAGTTCCTTAGCACGAGGTGTACATACCTTTGCTTTGTTTATGACTGGTAGCTGTTCCCCTTGAGCCAATAGTTATAATTAGTGAGCCTCTTGCCATTCCAGTTGTCAAATCTTTTTTATAACCCTCTGATTACCACCATATATTTATTGAGAGGTGGCGAGGCAATGACTTCAAAAGTCTGTGCTATGTAAAATGAATAAGACCTTCAAGACTGTTACATGCCAGAAGGAAAGTCGTACATGTTTTCCTCCATACAGCACTAACGTACTGCCATGTCTCATCTGGCATTTTGTAAGTGATCTTTTTTAAAGACAACAATGTAAGTATTTTTCAGCTGCCTTCCTTTTCTTTCTTAGGGGGAGCTCACGATGATAGAAATAAGTCTCGTCCAGTTGTGATAACCTGCGTTCGCCCTGGAGGGCCTGCTGACAGGTAAACTTCATCTTTCTGTGTCACTACCCAGAACAGATTGAAAAGAGCTGGGGACTCTATCAGAGAAAATTATTAATACATTTCACAGTAGCATCTACATAGTAAGTAGATGTACAGGAATGTGAAAACCTAAAGGAATTTGGGCTGTGGAATCAGAGAAAACGATAAGGTTTCATCTCCATTTTCTGCCTTTGCTATACTTTATCTTTGGCAAATAGCACAGTTCTGAGCACAGCTCCCTCCACTGTAGATGCAGACAATGCTGCCTGCTCTTCAGGTTTGCTCATTTTCAGGGTTGGTCATTTTTAGCAAAATGTAAGATGCATGTTGTCTTCAGGTGATCTGGCAAGCAAGGGGCACTTTTGGAAAGCAGCTGGCTCTTTCAAGACAGGTACTTAACATGCATCACCCTGCCGTGCTATGCCCTCATCCTGGGAAGGTGGGGCTGATTTTGTGATTCTCAAACTCCTGTCAGCATCGTTGTGCTCTAGCGTCACCTAAGGATGATGACCATGTATGTTAGAAAGAAGGAAAACCTAAAGGAATTTGGGCTGTGGAATCAGAGAAAACGATAAGGTTTCGTCTCCAGATTCTGCCTTTGCTGTACTTTATCTTCGGCAAATAGCACAGTTCTGAGCACAGCTCCCTCCACTGTAGAC